GGGGGGATGGGTTAGCCTGGTGATGGGTATTAAAGAGGGCACATTCTGCGTGGAGCACTGGGTGTTATGCACAAACAATGAATCATGGAACACTACGTCAAGAACTAATGATATAATGTATGGTGATTAACACAACAATAAAAAAATTAAAAAAAAAACCCATGCAAACACTTATGTTTGTGTTGGGTAATTTTGGAGAATATTCGAAAAACAGGTGCCTCTAGGCACCTCTCCGGGGATACAGTGGGTGACGGGAGGGGAAGCTCACTTCCCACCAAAGCCTGCCCTCCAGGAAGGGTTTGCACTGGGGGCAGGGCTTCTAGTTCCCGGCAGTTTTTGGTCCCAGAGAAATAGACCCTTAACTGAGCTCATCTCCTCTGATAAATTATGTATAATTTGTACAGAACTTAAATTTTCATTTTAAATTAAATTTTCCATGTGGCCTCCTAGTTACCGTCCAGTTTCCCTGGGAACTGGGAACCGTGCTTATCTTGGCTTTAAACGGGCTTGTTCCTTTTAGGGAACTGCTTTCACACTAGGAAGCCCAGTCAGGTGGGCACTTGCTGCAGAGAGGTAGACAGGTGGGCCCGTGTCACCCTCCCCTGGAGTGCAGAGGGGACTGGCCACTGCACACAGCCCAAGAAGGGGTGGGAGGCCCCTGCTGTGACCTGGTGACACATTATCATGTCTTCTGTCTCGCTAGCAGACCTTGCCCCTTGCCGGCTTCGAGAGAATATGCTGCCACGTAGTGGGGGCCACATGGCAAGGAACATCCGGTGAAGCACTGAGACCCTTGGTCCAACACCCTAAGGGTCCGGCTTCGGCCAACTGTCATGACAACACGGAGGCAGACCCTGCTCAAGGCGAGCCTCCCCATGCGACTGTGTCATGGCTAGCACCTCACCAGCAGCTTCATGAGGGGCCCTGAGGCCCCGCCTGTGGCGTCTACATTTCTGAACCACAGCAACTGTGAGGTAAGAAATGGTGGCACGCCTGGGTGGCTCAGTCAGTTAAGAGTCCTCTTGGTTTTGGCTCAGGTCATGATCTCAGGGTCGTGAGACTGGGCCGCGTGTAAGACTCCCTGCTCAGCGGGGAGCCTGAGATTCTCTCCCCTGCCCCCACCACGTGTGCGCTCTCTCAAATAAATTTAAAAATCTAAAAAAAGTGTGTATTGTATGAGGCTAGCTCATGGTAATTTATTATGTGATGGTTCAAGCAGAACACAACTTCAGGGTGACGTCACCCAAGTTAAAACCAGATAAATTGGACTTTATCAAAATTAAGTACTTTTGTACGTCAAAGGACCCCATCAAGAAAGTAAAAAGAGAACGTGCAGAATGGGAGGTGTTTGCACCGCGTCTTGAACACAACGTCTTGAACACCGCGTCTTGAAGTACTGTTATGGCTTCATACGACAAAACCCAGATAAAAAATGGGCAAAGGACCTGCACAGACATTTCTCCAAAGACGATACCCACACGGCCAACAAGCAGATGAAAGGACCCCCGCATCGCTGGGTGTTAGGGAAACGCAACATCATCACCTCGAGTGACTACGTGTGGAGACGCTGGTGCCCTTGTGCGGCGGGTGGGAGCGTAAAATGGTGCAACCATTGTGGAAAACTGGCGGTTCCCAAAACGTGGTTACCCTGTGACCCTGCACATCCTCTCCCAGGCACACGTTCACACGGAGCTACACATGAACGCTCCAGGCTGCACTGCTCTACCTGCCCAGCGGGCTTGTTCTTTGCTGACAGTTTCGCCACCTTGGGCCTTAGAAGTTGGTCACCTGCTGCTGTGGAATGAGCCCCCACCAGCGGAGCAGCCTGGGACGACACTCCCACCATTCCACAGGGCTGGATCGCGGGCCCAGCCCTGGCCCAGGGGCCCCGAGTGAGTCTGCCTCATGGCCAGCCCGGACAGCCTGTGCTCACCCCTGCTCTCCCACAGTTGGGGGTTTTCCCCAAAGTGGCCCCATAGCAAAGGGCAGAGTCCAGCCTCTCAAAGCTGCGCCTCCTGCCCCGCCTGGGGCCCTTCTCGGGCCACTGCCCCTGCCCGACCAATGTCCGCGTTCTGGGGTCAGAGCCTGGCGGGGTCGCCCTCTGTGGGGGCACTGTCCTGCCTGGCCCCCTGCACAGACACGGTGGGCAGCTCAGTAAAGTCCAGTCAGTGCCAAAGAGATTGGGGTCTTAACCAGCCGCCAATGAAGAGGGATGCTCCCCTCCCTGCCTCCCTTCACAGGTTTGTTCTAGTCCTGCTGTGTGCAGGCTTACGTCCCTGAGCCCAAGGCTGGACGCAGTGGTGGGCGGGCGTGTCCTGTGGGTCTCCTCCCTGATGTTGACAGACTGCCTCCCTTCTGCAAAAGCTGCCGCCTCCATGAAGGCTTCCGGTGTCTGGTGACTGAGGTTCCAGCCCAATCTCATGGTTGGAAGCTGGTGAAGTGGCCGCGTGTCTCCACCTGCGTGTTTCCCCCACAACCCCCAGCAGCAAGCACAGGGCCCTTGCCACCCGTCGGCCACCATCCCCTCTGGGGGACCCACTGGGGCAGGGCTGAGCCAAACTGGCCCCCGTAGTTGGGACCCCAAAGTAAAAGATGACACTTTACATTTGTATGAGTGTGTAGACACGAGAATGTCTTTCTGACCATGAAGAATGATTTCCTAAACAGGACACTAAAAGTGTTCATTGCAAGGAAAAGGTTGATGAACGCCACTGCATTAAAAGTAACTTTATCTGGGGCGCCTGGGTGGCTCACTCATTAAGCATCTGCCTTCGGCTCAGGTCATGATCCCAGGGTCCTGGGATCAAGTCCCGCATCAGGCTCCCTGCTCCGCGGGGCGTCTGCTTCTACCTCTGCCCCTCCCCCTGCTTGTGCTCATGCTCTCTCTCAAATAAATAAAATCAATCTTAAAAAAAACTTTTTCTGGAAGAACCTGTGAAAAGGTAAGTCTCACATGGGAAAAAATATTTGCCACTCCAACCGAGGAACGACTGGCACCAGAGTGTGCAGAGCTCCTGGAAATTACAAGGCCAGAGGCGCCTGAGAGCACCACCCAACTGAGCCCTTGTCCGGCGGGACAGGCTGGGACGAGTCCTCGCATGGCCTCACGAAGACGTGTGTGTGGAGGGCACCTTCCGAGACCCTTCACATCTGCTCCAAAGTCACAGGAACGTCACAGCCGTGCCCCGTCGCCAGGCCGGAAATGACCAGGCCCACGGTCAGATGTGGGATGTTAGACGGGAATGAGGAATTCAGTCATCTGGCCACACAGGCCAGCCTGACATGGGCAAAGCAGACCGGCCTCGTGCCGTGTGACCCCAATGGGGAGCTGAGAAGCGGGTGCAGCACAGTCCGGCACCCGTGCCCCTGTGACCTCAAGGGAAAAGGCAAGGATGTGGGGAAAAGTCTCTGGACGGCCCTGGGGGCGGAGGCCGTGGTGCTTGGTCAGAGGTTCTTCTCAGTGACGCTTTTACTGCCCACAGCCCCTCGTCTCTGCCGGAGCATCTGATGAGCCCCCGGAATGTGCCCCAGGTCTGGCACTTAGCAAGTTTCCAAAAAATGTTGCTCTTACAGAAATGCAGCCCATTTTTTGAGGGCACCATGGTGGCCTCTTCCAACACCCTGGGCAGCCTCCCGCCGTAGTGTACAGCTCGAGACAGGTGGCCCAAACCAAGGGCATGGATGTCTGGCTGCATGTCAGACGTCCGCGATCCCACAACTGGGGGCCTGTACCAGCCACACGGTTGTGTGACCCCCGCCGCGGCCGTGGCTGACACTTACCAGCTTCACACAGATGATGAAGGGTGGCCGGGCAGCTTGGAAGTGCAGGATTGGAACCCGAGGCTTAGGCCTTTCCTGAGAAACAAGAGGTGTTGTGGGCTGGGGTCCGTGCTAGTCTCTCGGGACGCCCTGCCGCGCTGGGCCCACACATGCTGACAGGGCAGCTGGACCAACCCCTTACCCCTGCCCAGCTCCGAGGTGCACGGCAGACACACAGACCTGGGCCAGGCGGGGACACAGGCCACTCTGGGGCCTGAGACCCCTAGAAGATGGGGGCCACTGCTGCTGGGCCTGGCAGCTGTCCAGGCACAGGCGGCCTTCCCAAGGAGGAAGGTTCTGGGCAGTGGCCTCTCTGTGTCCCCTGGGACAGAGCTAGGGGTGGTGTGAGCAACCCATGTGGGACCCAAGGCCCCTCCCGGGGTCCTGGGTCCCACACACCTGAGAGTCCTCGTGGCAATAGAAGCCTTTCCTGATCTTGTTCTCGTCCACGTCACAGAAGGCAACCACCTGGGGGGGGGTCACAGGACACCAGCCTCAGGGACGGGGGACCCGGGAGGACAGAGCTGCTGGGTGGGATGGAGGGGGGCCCACCTTGCGTCGTGTCCCAGCTGTCAGGCTGCGGTAAAGCCGGCGGCCCTGCCTGCCCGCGTTCCAGATGGTGAAAGCTGCCCAGTGCGGCAGGACCCGTTCTTCCAGGAAGCGGACACGGTGGGTCCAGATGGTGGTCCTGGGGGGGAATGGGGCGGGTGAACCAGGTGGGCAGGGCCTCTAGCTGTGCCCAGACCTTCCTCCCCACCCAGCCCTGGGCACAGCAGGGCATGTTCTGGGGACCTCCTCTCTCCAGAGCTCAGGAGGTCCTGGCTGGATAAATGAATGAGGGAATGAACAAACGAACCTTGGCCGCACTGCCTCACCCACCCTCACAGCCCCGTGTGGACCCTAGGATGTGCTGTCCTCACGTCCATGTACTCAGGGGCCTTGAGGGATGCCAGGCACAGACCCTGGGGAGCCTGAGGGGGATGCAGCCACCCCGACGTCAGGTGAGCTCAGGTGAGCCGTCTCACGGCTCCGCTTCCTGCAGAAGCTGCCCAGACCGCCAGGCATTCTGACAGCTGGGCCGTGGGCGCACCAGGGCTGGCGGGTGAGTAGCTCCCCGATCCTGGCCATTAGCGCTTCCAGAGCATCCCACGAGCTCCAGACACTCCAGCCCACGGCCAGGCACGCGCGCAGCTCTGGCAACACCCAAGAAGTGGAAGAAGTTTAAGAACAAAGGACCAGGGATCGTGCACGTGAGTTCTGGTAAATGGGAAATCCTGAGGACAAGGAAGGGACAGGGAGCTTCGGACAGTCACTGCTAACGGTTTTCGCCTTTCAAGTGGAGGACATGCTGGGACAGCCTGTGTCAGGAAGCACTGTGTGGGGTCCGCCCCGGGGGATGTGCGCCACACGCAGCTCAGCAGCGGCTTCTTCTCCTGTCCCCAGCCTGATGAAGTTCTGTCAGCACAGGGTCGTGCCACCTTTCGAGTAATTCCTTCTCTTTCAACAGTCCGTGCTCCTCAGTGTGAGGTGCAGATTGAAGGAAATGCCCATCATGATGTCTCGAGGTGTCTGTGGACGTGACCAAGGGAAAGATGGGCCCCAGTCCAGACCCCAGGAGCTCAGGCGCCCACTGGGGGGGGGGGTGTGGGGCCTGCTCTGAAGACACCGGTAGGTGATAAGCCGACGTAATTTAGAAATGGCCACAAACACACCTGCTTTGTGGGCCGCAAAGCACTTCCTGCCGCCGGCCCTGTTCCTGTTCAGGAATGCCATCTTTCCCGGTGCTTTTAAGTTCTGACCCAACTGGGAAGACTCCTTGATAGTCTGCTTACTTGCTGCAGGGGAGCAGTGTCCCCCCAGCAGGGGCTGTGGCGAGCGGAGTGGTTTCCCCAAACCCACAGACATGGGCCCTGTGCCCTGGTCCCCCAGCCCCCGGCCCCCTGGTGGCCGTGGCCCCCGAGGCAGAATGGGGGGTGTGCCGGCCAGGCTGGAGGTGGCCGCTCCGCAAGCAGGACGGCAGAAAGGCCTTGGGAGGAGGTGGCCTGGAGACCGGCGGCACCCTGAGGTCACACATGAAGGAGCAACCGTGAGGCTGAACAGAAAAGCGGTTTTTGGGGAGAAAGGCAGAATGCTACCATGGACATAACGTTTTTAAACAGGTAATGCATACTGTTCAGGGAGACACCGCACACACCCCGGATGGTGCTGGCCTTGCTGAGGGGCTGGGAAAGGCAGCCGGGCACAGGACTTCAGTCCTCGGTGTCTCTGTCTCCGGATATCTTAAGTATTTCGTAATGAATGATGTAAATGCTGACCATTCTTGGTTTAAAACAGAAAGAACCACCACCAGGGAGTGCTTTCACAGGAGGGCTTCTGGGCAGAGAGTTTGAAGAAATTCAATTCTCAACAAGCCTGAAGGTGCAATTAAAGCTCATTACTCTGTGAGGTTTTGCCACTCACAGCACAAAGATTTTAATCCAATACAGAAACTACATGAGATCACTTCTTTTGTGTTGTGGGTGGCAAAGCCTCACGCTGCAAAAAAGAAAGAAACCGCTCAACATAAAAGAGACTGATCCCATGCAAACAAGATGAGGACTTGTGGGGACAAAGCCCAGTTGCCTGTGGCCTGGTCCTTCCTGGACACGCAGGCTTCTGCCACAGCATGGGCCACCACCAATTCCTACAAAGAGATCCCTTCAATTTGTCTTCAAGGAATCTAACATGAGAACACACAGACAGGAACATTCATGATGATGATGACAGAGGAGATCCCCAAAGTCCCATACCTCACACTCTGCAGGAGATCCCGAAGTCCCACACCTCACGCTCTGCAAGGAGATCCCCGAAGTCCCACACCTCACGCTCTGCAGGAGATCCCGGAAGTCCCACACCTCACAGATCTAATTTCTCTCTGGTTCTATCAGCCAACACTGGTTCTAATTTTCTATTAGCGCACACTTGCTGGAATTCCTCTATGGACTAGCTGTCACGACGAGCGGCAGAGACAAATCCTGCCTGTTGGAGTGCTTCATGTAAGTGGAATCCCACAACATGCACGCCCTTGTGCCTTGCTTCTTTAGTAAGCAAACTGCTTTGGCATTCATCCCTCTCTTTTAATGCTGAGCAGCATTCCATCACAACCTCCATTCACTTGATGGACATTTGGGTGGCTCCCAGTTCTTGGCAATATTAACAGTGATACGTTGAACAATGTTTTCACTTCTCGTGCATTAAACACCGAGACACAGAACTGCGATATTAATAACACAGGGATATTAATTTAATAAAAAAGTGCCAGTTTTCCAGAGAGGGATGTACCATTTAAGTCCTGAGAACAGTGTGTGACCATTCTGCTAGATCCACACCCTTGCCACCATTTGGAATTGGCAGATATTAATTTTAGTCCTCCTGTTGGGTGTGTGGTGGGTTTCTATTATTTATATATTACATATTACTGTTTCGTGAAATGTGTTATGAAGTATTTGCCTATTTTTATGACATCGTCTTTGTTGTTGGGGTTCCTTACGTGCCTCTTATTTGGTTCTCCTTCAGACACATGGATTGTGAATATCCCCATTCAGTCTGCAGTGTGCCACTCATGTTCTTAATGGTGTCTTTTTATGAACAAATGTTTTTAATTTTGATAAAGTCCACTTTATCACTTTTTAAAGGGTTAACGATTCTCATGTCCTTGCTGGTAAGTTTTTGCTGATCACAAAGTTGTGAAGGTGTTCCCTGTTTCCCTCCAGAAGCTTTCTATTCCAGTTGTTTCTAGGTTTGTATCAAAGATCCAACTAGAATGGGCGTTTCTACACGGCATGAGACTCTTGTTCTTTCCTTCCTTTCCCACACGTGGAAACCCAGTGGTTCCACTTGTTGAAAATATCTTCCTTTTCCATTAAATGCCTTTGGAGACCGTTGAAAAATCAATCTATCGTACAATTTTCAGTGTATTTCTGGATTCTCCATTTCCCTGGTCTCTCTTGATGCTTTTGCTGTGTTTCCTGGGAACTGTGAGTCCTCAAATTTTACTCTTTTCAAGGTTGTTGAGGCCATTCTGGGTCCTTTAATTTTCCACGTGAATTTAAGAATCAGGTTATCAATTTCTACAAAGAAGTTCAGTCCACAGCTCAGTTTGGGGAGAACTGATATCAAAGTCACCAAATCTTCCAACCCATGAAGGTGGCGTCGCTCACTCCCTGTTACGGGTTTTCTTTAATTTCCCTCTGCACTTTCTTGTAGTTTCCAGAGGACATACGCACCTTGTCACATTTACCCACAAGCATTTTATTTTTGATGCCATCATACGTTTCTTAACTGCTATTTTTAGTTGTTCATTACAAGTGTGTAGATTGTGTGCTTTAGTGAAGTCCACAAATTTTGACATACCATTTTAATTTCATATTAAATTTTTTTTATTTCCTTTGTGTTTTTTTTCTCTTGGTTGCTTAATTTCCAAATATTTTAGATTTTTAAGATGTGTTAATGACTTCTAATTTAATTCTATGTGGTTATAAAACATACCTTGTATGATTTTAATCATTTGAAATGTATTCAGAATTGTCTGTCTTGCACCTTAAAGGAATGTATTCTGCAGCTGAGTGTCATGTTCTGTAAATGCCAGTCAGGTCAAGGGGTTAATTCCAGTCCTCTGCACCTTGCAGAATTCCCCTGCTTCTCTCAGTCACTGAGATGGGCTTGAAAACCTCCAACTGTAATTGTGGAGGTAATTTGTAATTTGTCTACTTCTGTCTGGTTTTGTTCACGCACTTGGAGACTGATGAGACATACATGCACACATCCGGGACTGCTTTGTCCTCCTGTGACAGGACCTTTACGCCATGGTGCAAATCACACTCGCACTGAGTCAGCTTCATGACAACAAACCCCAAACAATGATGCTCCACTAAAACTACTGTATAAAAGTTCAGATTTAACAGTAAATAACCAAAATCAAGTTCTCTGGCTGAAAGCTGGAAAACAAAGCAGCTGAATTTCAACACACATGCAAATATCTGAGGACCTACTGAGTCAATCTGGGGACCCCCAATGACGTTGCACAAACTGGCACCCCGCCTCTCAGTGTAGGTGGACGTCAGACCTCCCCAAACAAAGGCTGCCCAGCTGAGAAGCCACAACCTCCTGAGGGGGTCTCACGCCCCCCAGGGAAACACAGCCAACCCCACCTCCGAAAGATGAATGTGCACCCTTCCTTCCTGTTCCCAAAAGTGAGCAGTATTACAACCGCAAGGCACCAAGGGGTCACACGTTTGTAATGGTAAGAAACACGCGACATGTACACACAGTTCAAGCTGAAGAAATAAGAACACACCCCTGCCTCCGTGTTCCACACCTGCCGCCCCAGCAGTGCGCTCCAAGTGCACACCAGCTACTGGGGACCTGGGGGCTGGGCAAGTGGCAGAGGAGGGAGAGAGGGAGCGGGCAGGACCCCTTGGTGGGGACGGAGAGGGCACACTGAGGCACCGGTAACCAAGTCAGATGCGCACCTGGCGCACCTCAGAGCAGTGGAGAGCAAGACTTCAAAGGCACATCTGCATGTGAGGCCTACCTCGCTGTAGAAAAGCGAACAGACGTACAGCCTTCATCCTGGGAATCCTGTCCACAGGCCCTGAGACAGCTTCCCCCATGAGGGCCACAGGCTCTGCACACCCACACCTGCCATGCTCCCAGATTTCTTGCCTTGCGGTAGAGACCTGACCCAGGTGACCTGTGTCTGCCCCACCGACCTGGCTCAGACCTCGGCAACTCTGCACTCTCCATCCCGGACCTCGGCCAGCCCCACACCCTCGATCCTGGACCTGGACCCCTCAATGCTCGATCTTGGCACCTCACTGGCCCCCAAACCGTGTCTGGAGCCTTGGGGCCTGCGTACTCGAGGACAGAGTGCGTGGCAGCGTCTGGGTGGTAGCGGTACAGGAGGAGGCTCTGGTCCACGCGGACGACCCCACCGCCCTTTCTGAGGTGGTTGTAGAAGAACAGCAGGTCCTCGGGCACACCCTGCAGGGCACAAAAGAACGTCAACCATTGTTGATGTTTCTGCCCACGACAGAAGACACACCTGTGTCCGATGCTTCCCGCGTGTGCATTAATTCAGGCAACTGGAGATGGGGTGTCACGCCCAGCCTCACGTGCGAGGTTCCAGCGAGCGACCCACGCACCCAGCCACCGAGCACGCACACAAGGAGGTCATCTCAAGACAAGGAGGTGCTGGTGGTGAAAAGCAGGGGCTGACGGGGCAGACCAAGGCCGCCAGCATCACCCTCGCATACGCCTCCAACCTGAGAAATGGCCCTCCCCGCTGACGGGGCCTCCGCTCTGCAAGGACCTGAGAGCTTTCTCCTGGGTTTCCCTGGCTTGTGAGAACTCAGCCCCCACCCTCCTGCTAGCCAGTCGGGCGGCCAAGCTCAGCCTTGACAACGGAAGCTGGAAGCCAGACACCAGGTCTGCTCCCTTGACTTTCCTGAATTCAGAGGGAAAATCAGGTGAGCGGAGGGGTCTGGATCTTGCTCACCTTTCTGGCTGTCAACAGCATGGTACTACAGGTGTACCAGTAAGCAGAGCCAGCGATGCTGGGGCCTGGTCACCCATGTCACCAGGAGACGTGGCCCCAGGCAAAGGCCAGTTTCCTGACTGTGCATTGTCCCACCTCCGGGCCAGCTCGCAAGTGCCGCATTTGGTTTGGTTTAGTGCCAGTCCCACAGCTGAGCCGACTGCTTCCAGTAAAGCCCATGGCACTGAACTTTCGCCTCTCCAGGGCCTCTGGGCTGCTGCCTGGTTTGCCTATCTCAAGAGGAAGGTCGCACAGCTGGCCCAGCAGAGCCTGGCGGCCGGGCACCCTCGGGAGATGGAGCCCCCAGGGGAGATGCCACCTTACCAGCTGCACTGGGCAAGCTCGTCCCCAGACTGGCCACCTGCACCAGGTCTCAGCCTGGTCAGGAGTACACCAGAACACCCTGTCTGCTGGTTGAACAGGAGGGCAGCTGCTGGACACTGCTGGAAAGGTGAGCCACAACTGGAAGTCAACTGGACTGGGTACACTTCCTGACTTGGCTCCTGTTCCCAAAGCCGGCCCCGAAATGCTAGTTAGTGCCCACGTCTGTCCACCTGGCTTGCTCTATAAAGCCACCACTGACCTGGGAGTCCTGGCCAAGGAATCTCAGACACACTTGGTTTTATCGAGGGCAGACTCCGAGCCGGCGTCTGGAAGACCTCACATGTGCCCAGCAGACTGACAAAGCAGGCTCAAGGAAGCCATGGGAGCAGACCCTGCGACATTCCACAGCGGTCTGGCTAATGGTGGGGAAAGTCAGGAACACTCTTGTTCCCGACATGGGGGCGGACAAGTGCATCAGCGTGCGTGACCTGAAGGACTAGTTTCTACAAAGACTGATAATATGAAAGATGTATAGTAAAATGTTAAAAATCAAGTTTCACAACCGTTTCCAGCTCTGCTGAAAGTCTGTCCACAGTAAAATAAACACAAAGGAGCCACGCCTGAAGCTCAGATCCGCTGTGTGGTGACGGGGTCACAGGTGATTTGTATTTTTTTTCTAATTCTCTGCATTTTCAAAGGCACCTTTATTTTTACAAAAGATTTATTTATTTGAGAGAGAGAGTACATGGCAGGGAGCAGCAGAGGAGATGGAGAGGGAGAAGCAGATTCCCCACTGAGCAGGGAGCCTGATGCAGACTCGATCCCAGGACCCTGAGATCATGACCTGAGCCGAAGGCAGACGCTTAACTGACTGAGCTACCCGGGTGCCCCAAAGGTACCTTTAAAGAGCAAATTTTAACTCTGCACACTTTACAGCTTTAGGAAAAAGGTGCTGTTTCTTCTGATGACCTGGAAGAACTCACCCTCAGGGTTTCCTTATTTCTGGCAAGAAGTGAGAATTTAGTTGGAGGCAGCACTGGGGCACCATGGCTCCCGGCAAGGCGGGGGGTCTGTTCCACTGGCCCTCCGCTCACGGTTCCTCGGTTTTCACTCCTCCCTGCCTGGTGGGCTCCCTCACGGGCACGTGTTCACCAAGAGCTCAGGCTCCTCTGGCCAGCCAAAAACCCTGGACAGAGGCCGTGATGGCAGGGGTGACGCGGCCTGGGCAGCCAAGGAACCTGGGGTAGCTGAGCCCATGGTGGTGGTGGTGGGGTTCCCGGGTGCACTGAATGGTCCTGTGGGTGGGGATGTAGTGGGCAGGGCAGGTACACCCCTGAGACGTGTGAAAGGGGACTGGGATCTCGTGGGACAGAAGGAAGCACAACGGGCTGCCAGCCCCCATGCACCCCAGAAAAACTACTGCACTTTGCTGCAGTGGCAGGAGGGGTGGATCGCGTGAACCCGAGAATGCAGGGGTGCAGAAAGTCTTCATCTGGATGGAGCTGGTGTGAGACGAAAGCAGAAAGCCAAACGCTCCCACTGCACAGAAGACCCCAAACCATGAGACAGGTCTAAATGGAACCCCCCCAGCACCTGAGAGCGTGAGGGGAACCCCCCAAGTCAGAAGGCCAGGATGCACAAAGGAGTCGTGGCGGGTGAGGCAGATGGGGCAGGCCCGGCTGGCCGAGCTGTGCTGCTCTCGGGCACATGGCCCTCTTGGCGTCACACTGTGGTGATGTGGTGCCTGTGGATTCGCCAGAACCCATCAAACTGCACCTTTTCCCAGATGAAATGGATGGTATATTAATTACGCCTCAATAAACCTCCAAAATAACAGAGGGTGGATTGAATTAAAAAAAGAAACAGAAAGGGAGCGCCTGGGTGGCTCAGTTGGTTCAGCGTCTGACTCTTGATTTCGGCTCAGGTCATGATCTCAGGGTCGTGGGATCAAGTCCCGCGTCAGGCTCCCTGCTCAGCAGGGGTCTGCTTGTCCCTCTGCCTCTGCCCCTCCCCACATTCACACGTTCTCTCTCAAATAAATAAAATCTTAAAAAAATAAAGAGACAAATACAGAAATAACCACTAGAACAAAATATAAACCTTCAGTACCAAGAGGAATTTAAATAACCCAAGAGTGGGTGACGGCTCCTGGCTCCAGTTGGCCGAGTAGCTGTCCCTGCAGCGGTGATGGCTGTGCCCAGCGTGGAGGCTGCGGGCTGGACAGCCTGAGCCGCACCGCGGGGCAGGGACGGAGCAGACAAACCAGGGATGGAAGCCACAGGGGGCCCATACTTACCTGTCCGCCCTCGTCAAATGGGCCCACATGGGAAAACCATGCTCGAGAGCAGAACCAGGTGGGCATGATCACAGTTGGGCCATTGGAGGTAAAAACCTAGAAGCAATTGACACTAACATAATTATCAGGAAAGGACAGCTTGTCACAAACAACTTATAATTTATTTTCCACAAAGTAGAATTCAGAAAGTGACAGATGAACCTGCCCTTCTTTGTAGGAACAGGAGTTTGAGGGACTTTACAGACATCCCACAGTATCTGGTGCCCAAGGCCAACAGATGTCGGGGGAGAGGGGCCACGAGAATCAGTGGCTCCACCTGGGTCCTGTTCCCGGGTGAAAGCTCACTGCCTGGGTTCAAGGAGGAGGCCCCCCTGCTTTTGACTGATGGTAAAGTTTCACATGAAAACAAAAAATAAACATGCAGCTCTTAATTCTGACACGAAAAAACTGAAGCATAAAAAGTTAGCTTAGATGAAATGGATAGATTCCTCCAAAGACACCAACCACTGAAACTGAAGAAGAAACAGAAACTGACTAGATCTGTAACAAGGGATTGAAAGAGCGGTTTAAAGAACCTACAACTTCCCACAAAGGAACGCCCCGGCCCGGAGGGCTTCACCAGCGAAGTCCATCCAATGTTTAGCGGATTCCTATCAATCCTTCACAGTCTTCCGAAAACACAGGAGATGGCAGGGACACTTCCCGACTCATTCTGTGAGACCAGCACTACCCTGATACCAAAGCCAGTCGAAAATATCACAAAACTATAAAACAAGATCCTGTATGAATAGAGTTGCAAAAATCTTCAACAAAGAACTAGTGAACTGAGTCTATCATTATATAAAAAGGATTCTACACCACGACCAAGTGGAATTTATCCCAGGATTGCAAGGTTGGTTCAATGTATGAAAACACAGGTGATGTGATACACCATATTCATAGAAGGATGAAACCACATAATCATCTCAATAGATGCAGAAAAAGCATTTGACAAAATCCAACACCTTTTCATGACAAAACCAGTCAACCTAGGAGTTTGCAAAACTCCACAGCTGATATCATACTTAAAATGGTGTGACACTAAATGCTTTTCTCCTAAGATCAGGAGTAAGACATGCATATATGTTCCGACCACTTCTATTCAACATTGTGCTGAAGTTCTACTCAGAACAATTGGGAAATAAAGAAGTAAAATGGTCTCAATTTGCAGATGACACAATCCTGTAAGTAGAAAACCCAAAGGAATAAAAACACACACACCCTTGCACTAATGAATGAGTTCAGCAAAGTCCCGGGATACAAAATTCACATACAAAACTCAACTGTATTTCTGTATACTTGTAATGAACAATCCAAAAGTGAAATTAAGAAAACACTGTGATTTACAACAGCATGAAAAAGATACTCAGGAATAAATGGAACAAGAGTGCAAAACTTTACACTGGAAATCATAAAACATCTTTGAAACAAATTAAAGAAATTCCCATGGAAAGGCAGGGGGCCCAGAATAGCCAAAGCACCTTGAACAAGTTGAAGGACTCACACTTCCCAATTTCAACACTGACCACAAAGCTACAGTAACCAAGACACTGTGGTGCTGGCATAAAGACACAGAAATCGATGGAACAGAATGGGGAGTCCCAAATCAACCCATCACGTTTATGAACTAATTTTTAACAAGGCTGCCAAGACAACTTGATGATAAGTCTTTCAACAAACAGTCCAGGAACAGCTGGACATCCACAGGCGATAGCATAAAGTTGTACCCTTACCTCACACGATATACAAAATTAATGCAAAGTGGATCACAGACCTAAACACAAGACCTCAACCTATAAAACGTGTAGAAGGAAACACAAGTGTGAGTCTCCGAGACCTTGGTCAGGCAGCGGTTTCCTAGGACACCCAAAGCACAGGCAACCAAAGGAAACTGCACAACTTTGCGAACCCGCTAAAAACGACTTGTACGCCTCGCAGGGGGAGCTCTGCGGCTTACGGACGTCGGCGAAAACCACGACGCCAACAGGGCGCCGGGGCTCAGCGCCTGTACCGCGCCCGCCCCGCCGTGGGGCCCGCGCTGCGCGTGGAGCCCGCTCAGGCCTCTCCCCCCCTCCCTAAAAAGCGAAACAAAACACCCCCGTGCGCACCACGCACGTCAAAACCAGGACCCGAAGCAGGAGCTAACACCGAAGGGCACTTTAGCAAGCGGACCGTGCTCGCCTTAACAGTAACACCGCCCGCTGGTGCACCAGCAGAGAATCCCCGCCAACGACACAGCCTCCGCCACAACCACAGGCACGTCCGCAGAGGGAGCGGAGGCGGCTCTTTTTCTGGGGTGGTCGTGGGGGTGGGGGCTGTTGTAAACAGAAAGGCCATTGGAGTAAGCTAGGAGCTGGAAGTATAGTGGCTTCTCATTGGCTGGGCTGTGGCCGTCTCCCATTGGCTGGGCTGTGGCCGTCTCCCATTGGCTGGGCTGTTGCCGGGGCAGCAGGAAACCTTCCGTCCGGGAGCGGGGTTAGGAAAGCTGTACCCACCTGCAAGGTGCCTCTCTTCCTGGTGGGTCTGTAATTGATAACCAGTGCTGGGCACAGAGCTCCCCCTGCCGGCCTCTACCCCACCCTAAGTGAGGTTTCCGCGCTTCAGTTAGAACATTTGGAGGGATTCCACAGAACATGTAACTGTATGGAGGAAATTTACCAGCTGCCAATGACTGCTGAGATCATACAGGATTTATTTTCTGTATTTTCTGGATTTCTTAAACATCAACAAAAAAGCAAGATCATAGTCGGAGAAAAAGGTAGCTCCACCTTGAGAAAACATTTTTAGGAAAAAAATTTGAGAAAAATACATGTAACTATATATTCAGTTTTATAATCAATGCAATTTCTTTGGTTTATAAAGAAGACACTCAAAGTTTTATGAATGGAATCATTAATTTTGTTTTCTGAAAATGTTTTCTGTGTACAAGATTGGTATACGTTCACTGATACAAAATATAGAACATCATGCAGAAAAAACTAAAACCATCCCTAATTGTACCACCCAGATAAATAAACTCTTACATTTGTGGTGTGTTCCCTTCCAGGCTTTTTACCTTGGGGAAAACATTGCAGAATGTGTACCAGGGTGTGTGCACACAAACCATGAGCGTCTCTGCCACCCGCAGTCCTCACACTTCTGTTAGGGTTTCTTTGGGGGCAGCATCTCCATGCTGGGCACGCACAGGTACAGGATGTCCTCCCCAGATCTCTCCTTCCATGGTCTTCCCTGACCTCCAGTTGCTCCTTCTTCAGGGACTTCTTTTATCTTGAGCATCTCAAGTCACACCCTAGAATACTCCTGCCCCCTGCTTCAGGACGACAGGACTTAGAAGGTCCTATGTGTGCAGTGACGGCACCCACAGAGGTCTCCCCACCAAGCGGGTCGCCCTACCTGGGACAGGCCCTGGTCCCATCCGTGGGACCCAGGGGTTTCTGTCTGAGCGACAGTGGGCTGTGCTGGCACCTCCTTGAGGCCCAGAGGGTGGAGAGGGAGCCCTGTCTCCCTAATGAAAACAAATGGTGATAGATGTTATGTGTCAACAAGCCTGGCTGGTGGAGAGCTGGGCCCAGGGGCTCCACACCCAGGCATTTCCTTTCTTGGTTTATTCCTTCCAAACGATAAAATCTGGACTCAGGCCAGTGGCAGGTCATGAGCAGGGCATGAGCATGTGATGTCCATGAGAACATGCCAGATACTCAGTTCCATGCTGGATCCAGAATCTTGGACAGTTTCTCCCCCATTGCGTGGCTATGAGTGCATCACAGGACCCGGCGCCTGGAAGCTGGCGGACGTAATGCTGCAGGCTCAGAGCAAAGTGGGAATGAGCCCCTCCTCCCGACGTGCCTGGGAAGCATTTCTTCGAGTTCTGAGAGCACAGCTGTAACGTACGACACGGTGTGAACTTACACGTGGGCTTTAAAAATAAAGACAAGACGGTGTCATAGATGTATTTTCCTTAAGATTTTCTCAGTAACACGTTCTTTTTTCTGGCTTCTTTTATTGGAGGAATACAGTATGTAATATATGTGTTAATTGACGTCGTGCTATTGACAAGGCTTCTGGTCAATAGTAGGCTATTAGCAGTTAAGTTTTTGGGGAGTCAAATGTCATCCATGGATTTTTCTGCAGAGGGTCGGCACCCTGAAACCCCATGTTGTCCAAGCGTCCACTGGATCTGGATGTGGTCTCAGTAGTCCAGTGACTCACTGCCACTGAGGACAGGCCCGCCTCCTCACATGTGGCCGGAGAGCACAGTCCCTCTCTCCCATGCTTCTGCTTCAATACTGTTTCCCCGGCAGCTGCCTCAGCCGTGTGAGCTCGCTTACACGGTGACTGTTGAGGACGGGGTCACCTGTGTTTGCCTTGAGCCTCCATGGTTCTGAGACCCCTCACTTCAGCCCACACATGTCCACTCCACCATGGAGGGCTGTAGCAATTCTCGGGAACTACACGTCCATCACGTAGGTCACTGGGCTTCCTCTTCGTGGGAGACATCAGTGGCTGCCTGCCTGTCTGACAGGTTCATAATTTGCGTTTTCCTGGGGACGAGGGGTGTGCAGAGTGCTAGTCCAGGGAAGCACACGTCCAGACATTTATCGCTGTTTTACACAAAACGAGCCAGGTTGGGGTGGTTACACAAATCTGTGCACGTGCGGTAAGACTCAGAATTGTATACCGAAAAGGGAAAAACAGTCAATTTTATAGTATGTTAATTTTTGGACAACTAAATGTTCTCACTTTTAAATGTTTTTTCCAGGCTTAATGACACCTGGGAGAGGGCATCTGTTTACAAAACAAACCCAGAGGCACACACAGTGGAGTAGCTGCAGTCCCTGCACACCTCCACCGTTTGGCCCAACGTGAAGACCCAACAGGTGAGACGGGCCAGTGTGGAGGGACCTGCCTGCGGTTCTCGGTGCCTCGAGGCTCAAGCTCCCCGCCCCTGTGCCCCCTGCTCACGTCTCTCTGTGGGGACGATGCTGGCCACAGGGGACAGGAGAAACCCACTTGTGGAATTTTCTCTTGGGTAACTTGTGAAGAAACGAGGCCAGAGC